CCCCTGGTTGTGACACAAAATTGTAAAATCATCCAGACCAGTGCCATCAACCAGGCATGGGCAAACTACCGTCCTCCGACCCGCGAATAGTTTCCGTCCAGCCAATGAAGGGACCCAGCATAGTCAAAACTGCCCAAAACGCCCCCCCCCCCCTTCCCGCCTTTGTCGAGAAGGAAAGTAGTTGTCTTAGTTGAACGTCTTGGGCAGTGTTATTATGATATACTGGTGGCCGTTAGAGAAGGCTCGAGTGTAATTAATAATACATGTTGCCCGCGATGAGTTGATAATTGATGGAATAAAATTCTAAAAAACCATTAATTGCTCGTCTCGAAATTTAAAGCCAATAGTTTCCAGCTCAGCTGGAAGCAATAGATGTAACATCTAATCTCTCATGAAATACTATTAAGTGACATAAAATTGACCTGTCAGTTCTGGTTTGAGTTTTGAGAACTTGGGTATTTCAACAGATTTTATCCAATTTTCTCCAGCATTTTTGGCCCGCAAGATATTCGGAATCGATCTGACCCACGACTGAAAATGAGGCTGTTTTACATGTTCAGATAAAAAAAACCTGTCAGTTTTGTCTCTTTGTGATAAGAAAATGACTCATGATGCAATCTGAACAAAAATACTTCTTTTTGTTATCTTCAAAATCCATCTAGAAAAAGTCATCCGCGAGTCATTTTGTTAATTCTATTACGCTGGTTCCGAATTTGATGATATCATTTTTACGTTAAGAGGTAGTTTTCAAAATGTTTACAAATGAGGATTCCATCACCAGCGAGCTGCAGACAGTCCCAAGACTGAAAGCACAAAAATCAAACTAGTGTCTGATTTTTGTTGTGGGCAACCGGTTTGACCGTCTGTCACGTCAGCAGTCCCCTGGTTACAAAATTCTCGTTTGTAAACGTATTGAAAACTACGTCTTAACGTAAGAATAATATCATGAAATTCGGAACCAGGGTATAACAATTAACAAAATGACTCTTTCTCTTTGCTGAATTTTGAAGATCACACACACAAAAAGAAACTTTTTTGTTGAGATTGCATCATGCATCATTTTGATATCACAAAGAGGACGGACAGCTGTTCAGTTTTAACTGGGCGTGTAATAGACCTCTTAGATACTCTTGTCAACTTCTGGTGTCTACTCTCACCGCAGCGGTAGACTGGTTATTTATACATTTCATTTCGTATATGTGAAAAAAAAAAAAAAAAAAGCAACAACAACAAAAACAAACAAGCATAAAGCACACAAAAACACACCAAAAACAGAAACAACAAACAAACAAATAAACAAATAAAAAACCGACGAAAAAACATTGCAGATCATTGTAATGAAATCTACAAGAACTGCAGTGGGATCTTATCATATCGCACATACTGGCACCTGTGGTGTAGCGGTTATCAAGGAGTTTCGCCTCCACCGCACGCACGCGGGAGACTCAGTTCGATTCATTCCCGAAAGGGGAGAATCTTTATCGAGTATCTCGTCAGTCTTTCTGCTGGGATGATGTTGTGTCCCTGCCCTCTCGGCTCGAGTTGGCCCTGATAGGCATGGTCGAAGCCTGACTTCTACATGACTCAAATGTATTGAG